CACGCACAATGTCCAAGTGTCCGCTGTAGGAAGCACGATGCAGAGGTGTGTACTGATCTTCATCTTGAACATTTACTGGAGCTAGATTTTGTGAAAGGAGCTTTTGTACTGTACTAAGCTAAGAAAGAAAGACAGGCAGTTTAATATAACACTCCCCAATGAGATGCGCTCCTTTTGCTTCCAAATAGAAACCAACTGATACACTGTTAAACAAACAAACCTGCCCCTCTCAAAAATCCATGTGGTTGTGATTATAAACATTTTTCTAAGACAAAAATAAGTTTTTAAATTAAATCAATTATTTTACTGCTGCTGTTTCCTTTGGGAACATGAGATGAATGTGTTGGTACAGTATGTAGCTACACAAAAATAAGAGTATTCATGGACAGATTTACATCTGTTATACCTTTTTTTTTTTTTTTTAAAAGGAGAGTACCCCTTCTTGTGGGTGCCCCCTTCCAGACGTGGAGCGGGGTGGGGGGCTTCTGATCACAAGCAGCGGAGGCGATGGTGGCAGCGTGCAGGTGTGTGGTGGTGGCACTTCCACACTTCTCTGTACTGCCACTGCGTACCCCCTGGGGCCTTCCCAAGAACCCCCGGTTGACAACCCCTGCATTATACAAACTGGTAAATGCACCAATCCTCATGATTCTGAAGAATAATGTGTTATTAAGGGGGGTTTATTTTTGGTCAAAAATAGCTAGCTTCCTTGCCACAAAACCACAATTCATCATCTGTGCATGTAGCATAGTGTTGGATATAAACAGACCAGGTCTGTTTAAAAAACAACCACCCAATCCACAAAACAAAACTTAAAATAATTTCTCTCATTGATAAATAGGGACATTTTCAGTACTGTATCAGAGCATTTTCCACTTAGCATATGTGTTTGTGGCCTCAGTTCAGTAAATCACAACCAAATGCTCAATATTTTTCTGGCCCACTGTCTAGTTATTCCTGGTCTCTCGTCTTTTTCACAGCCTTGTAGGCTGTTTTTAGTTCTTTCAAAAATTGTGGATCAACCAATGGAGACCAGTCTTTAGCAGCAACTAGGGTTTCAGTTTCTGGTTGAGCAGGAAATGGAGGGAAAGCAAGCTGAAGATTAAGCTCTGTTTCTGATGTATGCATCCATAACTCTGGAAAAACTCCCCCCCTCCATTCTACCTTCACAAAAGCAAGGTGTGTGTCTTATTTGAGGGAGTGTGGTATAAAAGAAAAATATGGTGTTCAACAATGCTTTTGTTTTTAAAGTAGCTGAGTAGCTTTAACAAAATGCAAACTTACTGTTTTTAAGTGATGGACCTATTCTCACCATTCAAATGTATTGCCATTTACCAGAAATAATAGCATACTTGCTAGGCTCATAATTTACATGAAAATACCCAGAATGCTCTTTTGGTTCGTAACAACCTCAGAAAAGCACTAGCATTTGAGCGTTGGATAAAAATCAAGGTCACGATCCTACAAGCTAATCTGCAGAGACAGCTCAACTTGTGCAGAGATCCTCAGACTTCAAAATGGGTGACCTACACTGAGCTGCTGGCAGGCTTTGGCCCAAATGGTTAGGCCGAATAAGTGGGCTCCTAGTATAATTTATATATACAGAAGTGTGTGTATATCTGTATTTATATAGATAGATAATTTGTGTGTTTAACATGTTTGATTTAGATGCTGATTTGAGGGAGTACACCATCAGACACATGCAAAGCACATCAGCTTACCCGATTGTTTTCAGCTGCCCAGAGCAGCAGCCTATCTGGATTCTTTTCCAGTTGCTTTTCTTGCATTTGGTACCACTCCTCGCTTTTCTCTTGCTCATCTTCCTCATCCTCAGACTGCCCTGACCAGAAGCTCTGAGTTCCTATGGGAATTAGATGCCTATGCGTTTCCAGCAATTCAAGTTGATTAAAATTCTCAGTGAACTCCTGAAGCTTCTCTCTCCCATCTTCCACAGCACCTATATTTTTCACATCTGAGCTCCCACTTTCACTCATTTCTAATTAGCATCTGCAAGTGCCAAATGTTCAAAATTAAACACTTCATTTTTTCCATGCACCTTTTTTTCCAGTCATGTATGCCTCACTCCCACAGAACAAATACATACATGTGTGTGCATGCGCGCGCACACACGCAGCCAACATAAGTTAACCGATGGCTGCAAAGACGAGAGCAACATCATGCTCTGAAGCACCGTTTGTACCTCTTCCTGGCATCACCGAGCTGCTCTGGACCACCCCTAGCAGTATGAGCCCGACCCCAAACCACCATCCCCAATGCAGGAGGCTGCATCCTGTAGCATTTCGCTCACCCCAGCCAAGGCAGATCCCTCTGGCTGGCACAAAGCATCTCACAGAGACTAATCACCAAGAAGGAATCCTGGTTCTTTCCGATTAAAAAAAAAAAAAAAATCCCCAATTTTTGGATTAAAGAAAAAAACCCACATTTTCCCATGATTCAAACAAAGCACTGTTAATATATAGATGTAGATATAGTGGCGTTTCATTTTAATTGTGGAAAAATGTGGATTTTGGGTTACTTTTCTTAATCAAAAAGCAGGTTTTTTTTTTTTAAGTCAGAGAAAACCAGGATCCCCGCTAATCACCTGCCCTGCCCCGGGGCTGAGGCAACCCCCACGGCTTGGGCTGCAATGAAAAGCGGCTGGGAGACCCCCTCAGCCATCGCTACCTGCTCCACTGCTGCCTGCCTGCCTGCCTAACCCTGCCCCGCTCCCCTCCTCTACCCGGCGCCCCGCAGGCCGAACCCCGCCCGCCTCGTGCCCACCCGCGTCTCCAGGCCACGGGGCGGAGCCAGCACCGCCCCCCTCCAGAAACCACCTGGAACAGGAACACTTCCGGCCGACACTCACTACCCCCATCTCTCGGCTTCTCTGGCGGACGGATGGTGAGCGCAGGATTTGGGTCGGGGCCGTTCTCGCGAGAGGATGCGCGCGCCTCCGCGTTGCTATGGGAACCGGAGGCGCGGCTGGGCCTAGAGCCCCTGCGCTAGGCGCCGCCTGATTGGGGCGGGGCGAGCCCTCGGCGCGAGGCCTGTCCGTGTCAGCGTCCGCTTCCGCTCCCGCTCCCGCTCGGACCCGGCCGCGCCTCCTTCGTCCCGCCACCGCTCTCGACATGGGGCCCAGCACCGCTCAGTGAGCTCCCGGGGGGCGCCCGCGCCGCGTGGGGCGGGGTGGGGGAGGGGCAGGGATTTATCAGGCAAGGTTGAGGTGGGCTATTTAGGAGGTGTTACGTCGCTAGCCGTGTTTCTGAACCCTGCGCTGCTCTGACATCCTTTGCAGGGTGCAAAGAGGTAAGCGTAGGTGCATCCCTGCCCGCTTGCTCCTCCTTCCTCCCCCTGACTGCCCCGTCCCTGGTTCAGGACGTCAGCGCATATTTGTGTCCCCTCCGCTCCTCCTCCTCGCTCCTCAGCCCCCTCTGCACTCAGCAACGCCCAGCCCTGCGCCAGGAGGTGCACTGCAGTAAACGAGTTAGTTTTGGAAACGGGGTGCTGCTCAGTTCCCCAAAGTTTTGGAAGAGTGTGCAGAGTCTAAAACGAATGAGTGCCACTGCTCTGTAGGTTATTTTAATACTTTATTGGCTTTTGTAACTTACTGCATTAATCTTCTTTTTGTTCCTGTGGTTTGTTTGTTTTTTTTATAGAAGATATTTTGCTGTCCTGCAAGCTGCCCCTTGCCTTTCATAGATTTCATAGACATTAGGGCTGGAAGGGACCTCCGGAGATCATAGAGTCCAGCCCCCCACCCAAAGGGCAGGAAGTCAGCTGGGGTCATAGGATCCCAGCAAGATAAGCATGCAATTTGCTCTTGAAGGTGTTCAGTGTAGGTGCTTGAACCACCTCTGATGGCAGGCTGTTCCAGACCTTGGGGGCTCGGACAGTAAAGAAATTCTTCCTTATGTCCGGCCTGAAATGGTCTCACAGTAGTGTATGACCGTTCGACCTCGTCATCCCTTGGGGTGCTCCGGTGAGCAAACGTTCCCCCCGGGAACTGGTGGTTACCCTGATAAACTTATAGGAGGCCATCAGATCACACTTGAGCCTGCGCTTTTCCAGGCTAAAGAGCCCCATGGC